GTTCGACGAGTCAGTCCCCTTCTACCGTCTCTTCCCCTACCGCACTCCTTCCCTCCCCCCTCCCCCGGACTTCCTTGTGCCGGTTCCCCCCCCGGTAGACCCCCTCCCCCCTCAGGTTCCTGCCCCCTCAGGTGTGTCCCAGGTAGACGCCGTTGACCCGGTCGAGGTTACTGGTGACTCTGGTGCTGCTGCGGGTGCTGAGCCTGGGGGTGCTGACTCTGGGGGTGATGTGCGCGGGGGTGCTGAGCCTGGGGGTGCTACTGCTGGGGGTGCTGGGCCTGAGGGTGCTACTGCGGAGGGTGCGGAGCCTGGGGGTGCTGAGCCGGGGGGTGCTGTGCCTGGAGGTGCTGGGCCTGGGGGTGCTGCGTCTGGAGCTGCTGAGCCCGGAGTTTCTCCTGCTGCTGCGTCTCGCCGGGAGCCCCTCTCTCCACAGGAGCTGCGCGAGTGGTTCGCTCGCCGCTGGAGGCGTGCTGCTGAGTCTGGAGGTGCTGCTGGAGCTGGAGCCGGAGCTTCTTCGACCGTCGAGGGTGCGGGTGCTGCCGGTCCCGGAGCTCCTGGACCTGCGGGTCCTCCTGGAGCTGGAGCTGCTGAGGGCGTCGGTGCTGAGCCTACTGCTGTTGGTCCTGCCGCTGGAGGTGTGGGTGGCGCTGGTGCTGTCGCTGAGGGTGCTGGTGCTGTCCCTGCTGCGTCTGGAGCTGCTGAGCCTGGGGTTTCTCCTGCTGCTGCGTCTCGCCGGGAGCCCCTCTCTCCACAGGAGCTGCGCGAGTGGTACGCTCGCCGCTGGAGGCGTGCTGCTGAGTCTGGAGGTGCTGCTGGAGCTGGAGCTGGAGCTTCTTCGACCGTCGAGGGTGCGGGTGCTGCCGGTTCCGGAGCTGCTGGACCTGCGGGTCCTCCTGGAGCTGGAGGTGCTGAGGGCGTTGGTGCTGAGCCTACTGCTGTTGGTCCTGCCGCTGGAGGTGTGGGTGGCGCTGGTGCTGTCGCTGCGGGTACTGGTGCTGTCCCTGCTGAGTCTGGAGCTGCCGCGCGGCCTCGGCCGTACTTCGTTCCGCTCCTACAGCAGGTTCTTGGTCTTTCTCCTTCGGTAGAGTGTCCACAGCCTGTCCAGTCGCAGTCACTGTTGGAGCCTTCCTCTCCTCTGCCTGCTCCCTCTCCTTACACTGGTCCTACTGGAGGTCTTGCTGAGCGTCGTGAGCCTGCGTCTCGTCCCGCGTCGCCTGTTCGTGCTGCTCGCGCTAGTGGTCGCGGTTCACGTCAGCGTCCTCCTCCTGTCCCTGGCACGCACCGGATGTCTCTGCGTCCGTCCACTGCTCCTCTGCGTGCCCCTTTGCCTTCTCCTCCTGAGTCCTCTCTTCCTGCGCTTGCCGACCCTGAGTCGGACTCTCTTCGCGCTGCCAGTCCTACTGTCACGCGTCTGCTTGCTACTGTCGTCACTGACCCCTCTTTTGAGTCCACTGCTGCGTCTGCTCTAGTCGCTGAGCTCGTTGACTTTGCTGCTCGCTGTCGTCTCGACTACGCTGCTGGTCTTGTTACTGAGTCTGCGTCTGTCTGTCCTCCGTCCGTCGGGGGTGAGTGTGCTCTTGGCACGGACGTCCTAGAGGACAGACAGGAGGAGTTACAGTGTCTAGCGGCTGCTTCACCTCATCTCACGTCTGTACTGCTTGCCCCTGAGGGAGACCCGGATGCACTAGACATCCCGACTCCGCGTTCTTACGCGGAGGCCGTAGAGGGTCCCTACTCCTCTCAGTGGCAGGCAGCTATGGATGCAGAGATGGCTTCCTGGAAGTCCACAGGCACCTACGTTGACGCAGTTCCCCCTCCTGGGGCGAACATCGTCAGTGGCATGTGGATCTTCCGGGTGAAGCGGCCGCCGGGCTCTCCACCTGTCTTCAAGGCGCGGTATGTTGCTCGTGGCTTCAGTCAGCGGCAGGGAGTTGACTACTTTCAGACCTTCTCTCCCACCCCGAAGATGACCACTCTTCGGGTGCTGCTGCACATAGCCGCTCAGCGCGACTACGAGCTTCACTCTCTTGACTTCAGCACTGCGTTCCTGCAGGGTAGCCCGCACGAGGAGATCTGGCTGCGCCGTCCACCTGGCTTCACTGGGACTTTCCCTCTTGGCACCCAGTGGAGCCTCCGACGGCCAGTCTACGGTCTCCGCCAGGCACCACGTGAGTGGCACGACACACTGAGGACTACGCTTGCGGCTCTTGGGTTTGCTCCTTCTACTGCTGACCCGTCGCTGTTTCTGCGCACCGACACTTCACTGCCGCCGTTCTACATCCTCGTGTACGTCGACGACTTGGTCTTTGCCACAGCGGACACTGCTGGACTCGCCCACGTGAAGTCCGAACTGCTGAAGAGACACACGTGCACAGACCTGGGTGAACTGCGCAGCTACCTTGGCTTGCAGATCACTCGGGACAGAGCACGCCGCACCATTACCTTGACTCAGTCACACATGGTGCAGCAGGTCCTTCAGCGGTTCGGCTTCACGTACTCCTCGCCTCAGGCCACTCCTCTGCCTACTCGCCACTCACTCTCAGCTCTGCCTTCGGATGAGTCCGTAGAGTCGAGTGGTCCGTATGCAGAGCTTGTTGGCTGCCTCATGTACCTGATGACCTGCACACGACCTGACCTTGCATATCCTCTGAGCATTCTTGCACGCTATGTTGCTCCTGGGAGACACAGACCAGAGCACATGGCTGCAGCGAAGAGGGTATTGCGCTACCTGTGCAGTACGTCGGGCATGGGGCTTGTGCTTGGAGGGCGGAGTCCAGTGGTCCTTACCGGCCACGCGGACGCTTCTTGGGCTGACGACCAGGCTACGCAGCGGTCGTCACAGGGTTACACCTTCAGCCTTGGTTCCGGCTCTGTCTCGTGGCGGTCTACTCGCTCGTCTTCAGTTCTCGGCTCTAGTTGTGAGGCTGAGATCTACGCCGGGGCCATGGCTGCACAGGAGCTTCGCTGGCTCACCTACCTGCTGACTGACCTTGGAGAGCCGCCTCGTTCTCCTCCAGTGCTGTACGTAGACAACAAGGCCATGCTGGCCTTGTGTCGAGAGCAGCGCTTGGAGCACAGAACGAAGCACATTGCTCTCCGCTACTTCCTTGCTCGTGAGCTGCAGCAGCGTGGTCAGTTGCGACTTGCGTACGTGGCCTCTGAGGCCAACACTGCTGATGTGTTCACCAAGGCACTCGCGCCTTGTGATCATCAGCGCTTTTGCACCCAGCTGGGTCTTGTGTCTGTCTTGCCTCACTTGCTCTCCTCTTGACTTTACTTGTACTGTGACATATATATATACCTGCTCTTGCTTGTCTAGTTTTATATATATGTCTGTACTCCTGCATGTGAACTGGCCTCTGGCCCTGCTCTTGTGCTCGGACTGTGTGGTGACTTTGTGATCCACCCTGAGCTTGCTTTGCTTTGCTTGACTGGTCTTGTGACCCCTTGTTCTCCCCCACTTTGCCTATGGGGGTGTGTCAAACATTATATATGTTATGCTTGTGTAGGCTACAGTGGGTTAGCCTATAGGGGGTACACAATTCTAGGGTTTCCTACTTGTACTCATTTCACTGCTAGTTCATTCATTCCCTGTTCTCTTATTCTCACAAGGGGCCCCACCCCATGCAACCAACAACCAGGTTTCACGTCGAGGCCAATAGTGCCCCGCCGGCCTCCACGAAGAGCTCCTCCTCCCGCGTCTCGGAACGCGCCCTGCCTCCTCGCCCTTGAACCCCCCTGGTCCGTCGCGGTGGGAGGGATGGCAAACAGCTAACACCCTACGTCCGGTCTCATTTTGTTGCTGTTTCCGATTTTTACTTCACTACTTCCTAGTCCCTGCTAGTTCCCAACTCCCCTGCGCGCCCGCCCTGTCCACTGCTAGGCCTGACATGGCTACGGGCCCCGCCTCCGTACCCGTCATGAACCAGCCGACGGTTCGACGCGGCCTCATCCTTAGTGCAGGCGGGGTCGAGGTGGAGGTGTACGAGGACCAGCTGAATGCGATTAGCGAGGCGCCGAAAGGGGAGCTCGACGAGAGCATGATGACCGCGGGCGTCGTGTACGTGTCGTGTCGAACATTTTCAGCTTGCCATGTTTCGGTTTACCTGTCGCTGACGTTGCCTTAGCTTTCCGTGCAGCCTGTTCTGTCATGAGCTGCTGTCCGTCGAGCAGCTCCCCAAGGTGTTGATTGTGACTCCGGCGCGTGCGCGTGAAGAGATGGCCCGTCCCACCCCGGCCGCTTTTGCAAACAACCACCTCGACGGCCTCCTCGGCAAGCAAGTGGTTTTCGTTCTGCTGCGGACACCGTGAGTTCAACACTCTCCCGTCGCCTTGGTTGCTCCGTCTTTAGCCCTGAACCCGTTCTCACGTGCATTGGCTCTGCATGCAGACGAAGTGTACCTCCGTTCTCCCACTCGAGCCTATTTGTGGTATCGCGCCCCGACGATCTGCTGGCTCCGAGGCACCATGGCAGTCGAACTCGAATGATGCACTTCGATTCAAAAGACAGGTTTCCCGATATGAACCACCAGGATTCTCTGGCGCAAGAGGTTCCGTGTGAGTGACAGCTTTGCCACCCTGCTGTCGAGCTGCTGTTCTCGACAATCTTACTCTTCTGTCCGTTGCGTCGCAGGTGGATGAAGAAGCAGCTTCGTGCCGAGTACGCAATGACCCACCAAGCTCTGACCAAGCACGACCAAGAAGTGTTGAGCGTGATTGACCTTCGTCTGGAGTTGAACGATGATTTCGATCGTCTAGTAAGCTCTTCTAGACCACCAGTGATCTTGTCGAGCATGTCTTCTGTCGCTTACGTATGTTTTGTACCCGTCGCAGACGACGACGCCCTTGTCGAGCCCCCATGAAACGGCGCGGCAGCTCGTGTCGTGCATGGGGTGCGCCGGATTCTGTCGAAATGGGACGACTTCATCCTGCAGCCTCGAAAGGGCGAACTCGTGCCTCTCGGGAGAACGAACCCTGGCCCGGTTGCGCTTCCATTGTTCATGGTCAAGCGGTTTTGGAGAAAGATCAACGAGGTGGCGGAGGGAGTAGGTGTGGGAGGGGGTGCCGACCACGAGGGAGGAGGCGAGGAGACGGCAGGCGCCGTGGTAGAGTACAGCGTCGAGGAGGAGGAGGAGGAGGAGGAGGAGGAGGAGGAGGAGGAGGAGGAGGAGGAGGTCAAGGAGGATACATCAAGGCAGGCTCAGCGCGGGGCGCGCGGCCCGGGTGGCGGTGCGAACGAGGACGAGGACTCGAGCTCGGGACCGATCTCCGGCTCGAGCTCGAGCGATGAGTCGGTCGAGGACGACGGCCACGGCGCCGGACATAGCACAGAGCGTACGGGGGAGCATGGAGTGGCGTTGGGGGAGCATGTGGACGAGCGGGTAGAGCAAATCGAGCAGCAGGAAATGGGCGAAACTACGGCTGTCAATGAGCTGGAGGGCGGTGCGGTTGCGCAGGAGGGTGGGGTCGGAGGGTAGCAGCAGGTTGGCGAGGCGGCTGCACAGGAGGGTGGGGCAGGAGGGCAGCAGCAGGAGGGCGTGGCGGCTGCGCAGGAGGGTGGGGCAGGAGTGCAGCAGCAGGAGTTTAGGGTGGCAGCTGCGCAGGTGGGTGGGGCGGGAGGGCAGGAGCAGGAGGGCGGGGAGGCGGCTGAGTATTGTCGAGGAGATGATCGACAGGCCGTGATAACAAGGAGACACGGCACGGCCAGTGGCAACGGACAGGCGGGCCCTTCGACCGGAGGGCCTTCGACGGCAGGCCAATCGACGGCGAACGTTGCACCTGGAGGTCAGGTCGTCGAGCTACTGCAGAGGGTCAAGAAGGTCGCAGTGTCGCAGAAGCAGCTCGTCGCCGACGTGTTTGCGAAACACACTGAGCAAGCCGGAGTATTCAACACGCTTGCGGCGGATTTTCGGACGGCCTGGAATACGATTTCGGAGTCGTCGAAGAGCACACTGTCGCAGTGCGCCGAGGCTGTGAAGGGTGTCATGGCGGAGAGGAAAATGTTGAAAGGGGCGAGGGCGAAGATCGACGAGATGACCGGGAAGATCATCGAGGAGGTTTCAGCCGCCATCACAAAAGCGAGCGAGGACGCCGTCGAGAAGCAGCTCAAGCAGGTCGAGGAGCGGTTGGTTGCTGCGGTGCTGAAGGGTTTCGAGAAAGCCATCAAGGAGGACATGTTTTACACTAACCTCCCACCTGAGACCATGAAGGAGCTGAAGGACATAGTGAGGCAAGGCTACCAGGAAGGCGAAGCTGGGCGACTGGAAGTCCTCACCGAAGCGATGGCGAGAGGTTTTCAGCGATCGACGGGCCCGTCGACGAGGTCGCGTCAGGAGGGTGTGGCAGGGGTTCGCTGCGGCGTTGAGCCTTGTGGTCACGAGTGCTCGGTTCCTCCGTCTTCTTCGGTGGGAGGACATGTCACCAAGCCTGTCGAGGATAACGAGGTCATCGTTCTCGACCAGTCGCCCCTCCCGAAGACCTCTGCAGCGGCTCCTATCGCTCCGCCTGATGCGTTCGCTTCGATGCGGGACATGCTGCAGGACCTGGGGAAAACGGATGGGAAAGGAGTGGTTGCGGGGGAGAAAAGTGGTGCCCCGAACGTGCACGTCGCCTCAACCGGGAATAGAGCCCTTGGAAATCGAGGTGCCTCTACCCCGTCCGGCGTCAGTGCGGGGAAAGGAGCGGGAGAGGCAACCGCTGGGTTGATGTCGAAGACTAAAGGGGCATCAGCTGTGCAGAGCGGTGCTGCTAGCCGAGCTGTCGAGCATGTGGGAAATTGGGCGTCGTCCTCAACCCCTCCAGTTGCTCCTGTCGCCACTGCTCCGGCCCTAGGCAACGTTTGCCTTAGCGATCCGGGCTCCCCTTCAACGTCGAAGAAGAAGCCTGCTGCGACGAAGTCGTCGAAGCGCTCTGCACATGCGACAGAGAGCCTTGGGGTCGTGGAGATGGCCAGCGTCCCTGGTCAGGCGCATGTCGAGAAGACCACTATTGTCGTTGCTGCTCGACAGGAAAAGTCGAAGAAGGCCAAGGTGATGGGTTACACCCCACCTCCTCCCCCGGACGACCAAGGCAAGACGAGTGGCTGCAAAGCTCCCTTCAAAGGACAGGGTTTCGGGTTGCGGAAGGGGAAGCCGGTTTCCGAGCAGACCGTCGGCGGGAAGAAGCGGTTCTTGGGACACTTTGAAACGGAGAAGGACCAAAAGTTCTGTACGGCCATCTGCTGGCGCGTGTACTTCCCCGACATTGTCCTTACCGAGTACGAGGCGTTTACGGCGCTGGATGAGCAGGAGTGGAAGGTCTATCTTGATGCAGCTGCTAAAATGCCAACTGGCGTTTGGAGCGTGGCGCAAGAACAAGGGCAATGTTGTTTTGACGTGTGAGTTCTGTCGAATTCTTGCTGTTTGACATTTGTGTCGAAGTTCTGTTGTTGGTGTGTTTTGTCGAACACATGCTGTTTGGTTGTGAGTTTTCTATCGGTCGGAGTCTGGCCTCCTGGCTTACGCGTTTGTTGCGATGTGCAGTTTCCAGTTGCTGTTGGCGACGGCAAATAAGGAAGTTCGAGCTGGAACCGACCGGGGAATCGCGCTGTGCGCGGCGATTGGTAAGGTTGCGACGCTTGGCATGAAGCACGAGAACCTGATTTATCCGGTTCCTAAGGGCATGGCGGCGACACCACACATGATGGCCATCGCTGCAACTCTGGCGAGCTTGTGGGCGGCGTACAGGAAGTTGTCGAGGGAGGATATTAAGAAGGATGCCCTAGCTGCCGCAAACGCTACTCTCTTCGCCCTGGAGACTGCGACCAAGGCTTGTGTGGCTGCCATGGCCGCGCTCGTGTCCATACTTTTGCACGTCGGCAAGACGTTCCCGGCGAAGCAGTGGTCCGATCAGCTGTATTCGTCGGCTGTCGAAGGTCTCGGCTCGACGGACCCTGTCCTGTTGCAGATGGTGCGCGTGGCCGCACAGGTCTGCACGCAATGGTGCTGCTGTCGAGCGGCTGCTCGCTTGCTGGAGGACGCGGGCTATGGCAGCCTGGCAATGCCAGAAGAAAAGAGCAAGGCGAAGCTGGGCGACGAGGATGCTACGGAGAAGGAAACGGGCGGGCAAGGGGAGTAGGCTAGGTGGGCACTTTGCGAGGGGGTGTTTGTATCTCTCAACAGTTGTGTTTGTTGTTTCCAGAGTTCGATAGACAGTCTGTACCCGCTGCATAATTTTTTACTTTTTGTATTCGATAGGGTAAAGTAGTTCAACTATGCGATAATGCTCAACATGCCATGCAAATTCTGAAAGAAAATCCTACTCTAGTTTCCCCTCTAGTTTCCCCCCTCGTCACGGTTGCTTGTCGAAGTAGGGCCCTCGCCCGTTGCCTTCATAAACTCCGTCCATTTGTCCTTGAACACGTTCTCGGCCCATTCCGTGGTTCGGAGTTCGACGCGAATTAGCTCCCGCGTGATCCTGAGGCGATCTTTGTCCTTGCGGTTTTCGTCTGATGTCTGGACTTTCCGCTTCTTCGTGAGCTGCTTCCTCGAATCCTCCTTGAGAACGAGCCCTTCCGCCAGCATGTTGATCGAGTGCTTCGTGACAATCGAGTCAAGCTTCTTGATGATCGTCGACGTAGCCGCGCTGCTGTCGTCGATCCTGAACGTCTCGATGGCCCTCATGACAACCTCCATTTTCCGCAATTTCGACTCGAGAGCTTTTTGGGACGGAGGCTTTTCTTTTGGCCTGGCCTCCTCTTCAGGGGGAACGGGGGGAGGAGTCGGAGTGAACTTGCTGAACTTGACGGCGAAGCCCCTCCTGTAAGCGTGTTGAAGACTGTGTCCATTGTTCAGCGGGCTTGGCCCGTCCCAGTAGGACCACGCCTGCCGCACGGTCTCGCAATTGCACCACGGCCACACCACAGCGTCGAACAATGCTTGGTCGAGCTGGCTGCCCACGCTCTGTCGAGTGTGTGTTGTTTGTGGGGCTTGCTGTCTTGGCGGGGTGGTTTCTTCGGTCGCCGTCTGCGGCACGCTCTCGCTATCCCCCACGTTCGCAGCCGCGCTTGTCGACGCGGTAATCTTAAGTGCGTCGAACGCTTTCTACAGTCCCACGAGTGCCTCGTCCTTCACCTCCAACGCCGCTTGCATCGCGCCCTTCTCCCGCTCCAATGAATCGACCTTGTGCTCGAGGTGTTTGATCTTGATTTCTTTCTTCCCTCCTGCCTCCTTGTGTAAGTTAACCTCCGCCGGAAGTTGCTTGATGACGTGCTTGGTGTTGAGTTGAAAGGATGCGTCCTGCACACAAGACGGCGAGCGATGAATGGGCTGATGCAAACACTTCGGATCAAGATGTGGAAGGGCCATCTTACCGATGCTCTCGACATGGTCGGGTTGGTCCGCATCTCGATGCCGTAGTTGTCGAGCAGGTACACGTCAAGCGCCCATTCTTGGAAGTCTATGTCCTTGCACAAATCCGACATCTGTGCGTACGGATGGCGCTCGCAGTCACAAATAGTCAGTCCGTCGAAGGGATGGTCGTCACAATGGACGTAGTACATGGCAAGATCCTCTGCGATGGGCATTCGGGCGGCTTGCAGGGCCTTCAAGAAACTTTTCGCTGCGAAGAACATATGCTCTTTGTCCTACTCGTTGTTCCATTCCATCGTCTGAACAAGAAACAAACAGGGTGTCATTGAGAGATAGTCGTGCGTAACTTGCGGGCGATGATCACGCTAGGCGCTCGACGCATCCATACCTCTTGGAGCCACTGCTCCGCCTTCGGAAAGATGTGCTTCTCGATGGCCTTCACGACCTTCTCGGGTACTTCGCTTTTTTATCTTCCGATGTAATGGTCACCCGGTTCCGTCGTGAACCCCGCTTGCAGCTGGATGACCCCGCGCGGGATGCGTGTGACGTATGACATGCGCATCTCGTTCATGTCCCATTGACCCAGCTGCGCGATGTTGTCGAGTTCACAGTTTTTGTCGGCGAGGATCTGTGCCACAGACCGTCAAAAGATGTGCGTGACTTTCGACAGGATCCACTCCGCACTATTCATCGCCCAGAGCACCCATTTCGCATGAGTTGCGTACGGCAACTCGGTCTTGTCTTTGTCGAAGAGGGCAAGGAACATGTGCTTCTTCGACCAGTTTTCCGGGTTGCTGAAATCCAAGGGGGGCACGATCTTATCGTTCCCGTATTGGAGCGGCACAAGGTCGAAAAGGAAATGTATCCATATGAACACTGCTCCGAAGCCGCACTGCCGGAAGTCCATGTGTCGAGTCAGGTACAGGTGGCCGAGCTTGTTGTCTTTGATGGTCTTCGAGTTGCGATAGGCGACCACGAGGACGTGGATCGGCGATTCCCCCTTGCTGTTCGTGATGGGCGGAAGGACGTGAGTGAACATATTGCAGTAGCGGATCTTGTCGAAATATTTTGTCATGTTTTATAATTGCTTGTAGTTGTAGTTAGTGTAGTTATGTAAACTTTTGTTGGTGGTGCACCTTATTGTGTTTCTATGCTATATGTACCCCTGAACCTATAGTGAAACCCACCTTTTCACAATTTTCCTCTCAACTCACTCGACTCTCACCCTAGGGGAAAACCCGCTCGATACTAAGTTAGGGCCTAGGCTACTAAGCCTAGGCCCCACGTTTCTACTCTCTATTACCTACTATCTTGACATGGTATCAGAGCTGTTTTCGTCCTGGCCTGTGGGCCCGCGTTACTCTTCCGCTGCTGAGATTTTCCGGTCGCGCGCCTAGGGCGCGTGACGATTTTAGTTTTACCTTGTCCCGCCCACGGGCGTGTGACTCCTATCCTGCCCGTCGCGCGCCCCGTGGCACGCGACGGTGCCCTTTATCTGCCCATCGTACGCCCCGAGGCACACGATGGTGCCCTGCTCGTCGTGCGCCCCGAGGCACACGATCGGGCCCTTTTATCCTACCCGTCGTGCGCCCCGTGGCACTGGCCCGCGACGGGCCTCTCCGCCCCTGCACTCCCTGCTGCCGTCCCTGACCCATCTGCACCGACGCCTCTTCGCCGCTCTGCGGCTTTCTTCCTTCCCACCCCCCCCTTTCTCTTGTCTCCCTGCAGCCGTGGGGAGGAGGGTATGGGGGTGGAGGGTGTTGGAGCGTGGGGTCAACTCTCTCCCTTTCCCTCCTCCTTCTTTCAGTCCCACCGCTGCAGCTGCCGCTGGGGGAGGAGGGTGTGAGGATGTGGGTGAGGGGGGGGGGTGGTACCGGGGTGGCGGGGGTGAGGCAACAAGTAGCCGTCCCTCCACCTTTCCTCTTTCCCCCCTTTCTCTGCTGCTTCTGCAGCAGTGTTGGGGAGGGGAAGGAGGAGGGTGAGGAGATGGTAGGGGTACCTGCTGTTGCTGTAACTACACACCTACCTACAAGCATTATGGGGGCGTGTCGAAATATTTTGTCATGTTTTATAATTGCTTGTAGTTGTAGTTAGTGTAGTTATGTAAACTTTTGTTGGTGGTGCACCTTATTGTGTTTCTATGCTATATGTACCCCTGAACCTATAGTGAAACCCACCTTTTCACAATTTTCCTCTCAACTCACTCGACTCTCACCCTAGGGGAAAACCCGCTCGATACTAAGTTAGGGCCTAGGCTACTAAGCCTAGGCCCCACGTTTCTACTCTCTATTACCTACTATCTTGACAGATCTCGCGGATGCTTATCCCCCTGCCCAGCATGTGATGCGCCATCAGGATCATCACCCTCACGGCCAAGGCCCTCCACAGCGACTGGCTGGGGAAACTCATCGACTCCCGAAAGTACTCTATGGCCCAGGACGGCAGGATGTATGAAACAAGAATGCGGAACTGCTCCTCCGTGTAAACATCGTCCAGGGAGCCCCGGTGTGGATCGACGCACTGCTTGCATTGTGTGGGCAGATAGAGCGATTAATGGGTGAGAACAAGAGTGAGAAGTTTTAGTCACCGGTGTATGGCAGCCTACTTACTCGAACTGATAGTCGTGTAGCTGTCGCAGCTTGACCGCAAGAGGGTGCCGAGCCTCGGTGATGTCGTCCAAGGGTTTCGTTAGTGGCTCGTCGAAGAGTATGGCCTGTACTTTGCAGAAGCACGTTAGCGCAGTAAGGCGCGCCAGCATCATCGGAGGGGTGCATTTTTTCGGCTTCTTTCCCGCGACTCTGGTCCGGCCTGTATCCAAGGATGCCGCCGGTGCGTCGGTTTCTGTCGACATGTATTCGACGTAAGCGCGCAAGCGCTGTCGGATTATAATAACTGATGCATGTTTGTAGGCTATAGTGGGGTAGCACATATGGGGTACAGCTTTCTAGGGTTGTATTTGTACCCAACTCTGACTTAGTCATTTTCATTCCTGTTTTCCTTGCTTCACATGGTATAGAGCGGGTCCTGCCTTAGGACCGTTTTTAGGGCCCACTGAAGCGCGCCCCGAGGCGCGCCCTTTTTGTTTTTTAGCGACCCCTCGGGTCGCCTTTTCCCTCGCGGCCCCGCTGTCCCTCAGACGCGGCCCCGCCACCTCTCCTGATCGCGGCCCCGCCGCCTGCTTGACGCGGCCCCGCCGCCTCCCCTGACGCGGCCCCGCCGCCTCCCCTGACGCGGCCCCGCCGCTTCCCCTGACGCGGCCCCGCCTCTACTGCCGCGGCCCCGCCGCCGCCTCTGACGGCCGCGCCGCTGCACCCTACGGCCCGCCGCTGCACCCTACGACCCGCCGCTGCTCCTGCCGGCCCGCCGCCTCACCTGACGGCCCCGCCGCTGCTCCTGCCGGCCCGCCGCTGCTCCTGCCGGCCCGCCGCTGCACCTGCCGGCCCGCCGCTGCACCCAGCGGCCCGCCGCCTCTGACGGCCCAGCCGCTGCACCCTACGGCCCGCCGCTGCTCCTGCCGGCCCGCCGCCTCACCTGACGGCCCCGCCGCTGCACCTGCCGGCCCGCCGCTGCACCCTACGGCCCGCCGCTGCACCCTACGGCCCGCCGCCTGCACCTGCCGGCCCGCCGCTGCACCTGCCGGCCCGCCGCTGCACCTGCCGGCCCGCCGCTGCACCTGCCGGCCCGCCACTGCACCGGTCGACCCGCCGCTGCACCTGACGGCCCCGCCCCTGCATCTCCCGGCCGAGCCGCCCCAGCAGCCGAACCACCCGGGAGCCGAGCCGCCCAACGCCGAGCCGCCCGGGACCCGAGCCGCCCTGCCGCCGAGCCGCCCGGGAGCCGAGCCGCCCTGCACCCGAGCCGCCCAGCCGCCGAGCCGCTCGGGAGCCGAGCCGCCCTGCGCCCGAGCCGCCCAGCCGCCGAGCCGCCCGGGAGCCGAGCCGTTGTGCACCCGAGCAGCCCGGTCGCTGAGCCGCCTTTCTGCATAGCTGCACGACCTGCCCTGCCTGGTGAGCACAGTCCCACTGACACTGCGAGCTCTTTCCCTACTGCTTGCACTGCGTCGCTGTCGTCGCCATGGCTACCCCTAGTGTCCTAGCTTTTGACGCTGAGGGTCGCGCCATTGATTTTGAGGTCTGGTTAGACGACCTGCAGCTGTTCTTACAGTGCGACAGGGCTGACGACCTTTCTCTCTTTGACCTCACTTCTGGCGCCTCTCCTGCCCCTGCTGCTGATGCTGATCCCACTGTGCGCTCTCAGTGGGCCACCCGCGATGCTGCTGCACGTCTTGCTGTGCGTCGCCACCTCCCTACCTCTGAGCGTGCGCACTTTAGTCAGTACAAGAGTGCTCAGACCTTGTACGACGCTGTAGTTGCGCGCTACTCCTCCCCTGCCACTGCTGCACTGAGCCGTCTCATGCTTCCCTACCTCTTTCCTGACCTCTCTGCCTTTCCCACTGTCGCTGACCTCATTACGCACCTCCGCACTAGTGACACTCGCTACCGCGCCGCCCTTCCTGCTGAGTTCTGCGCTAAGAACCCCCACCCCCCATGTACATCGCTCTCTACTACGTAGTCGCGCGCCTCCCTGACTCCCTTCGCGTCGTCAGGGACCACTTTCTCGCAGTCTGTCCCACCACCCTCACCGTCGACCTCCTCGAGAAGGCCCTCCTCGCAGCGGAGAAGAGCATAGTCGCTGTAGGTGCTTCTCGTGGTGACCCTCGCACCCTCATCTTTGAGGGGTGCTCTCCTTCCCCCTTGCTGCCCTCTGTTGCCTCTGCTGCTGCTGCCGACCTGCTTGGTCTTGAGTCGGTCGGCGCGGCGTCTGCCCCTAGTGGGAGACGTCGCTCCAGCAAGGGCAAGGGGGCCAAGGGCGCGGGTGGAGCTGGAGGGGGCGGTGGCGGTGGCGGCGGTGGCGGCGGAGGGAGTGGGGGTGGCGGCGGGACTAGTGGTGGAGGTGGTGGTGGTGGTGGCAGCAGTGGCCGAGACGGTGGTGGTGGTGCCAGCGGTGGTGGTGGAGGCAGCGGCGGTGGTGGAGGCGGCGGAGGTGGAGGCGGTGGAAGCGGCAGCGGAGGAGGCGGTGGTGGTGGAGGAGGTGGAGCTGGTCGAGGTGGTACCCAGCAGCGTAGCGGCGGTGGTGGTGGCCAGCGCTTGCAGCGGCAGCAGCAGTAGCGCTCGCGGGACATCCCTCCGCCTCAGCAGCTTCGTGAGTGGTACGCTGGGCGTCAGAGGGGTGGGGGTACTGGTCCCTGCACCTACGTTCTTCGTTCCGGCGACCGCGCGGGTGAGCAATGTGGGGGTGCCCACGCCACCCAGCGCTGCTTTGGCCGCCTGACGGACGCTTGGCGACAGCAGTTCCCTGGGGCTAGTGAGATCCCTCGCTGGGATGAGCTTCTCAGGGCTGGTGTAGCGATCTTTGATCTTGATTTTGATGCTATCCTTGCTGCTATGTATGTTGTGGATTATAGTGAGGAGAATGAGGGTTACCGTTGTTTCCAGCCCGACCCGGGCATTGGTACTGCTGCGCTAGGTGCTTGTGAGGCTGCTGCTCTAGGTGCCAGTGCGTTTGTGCTCTCAGGTACTGGTGAGACTGCGCTCTCAGGTACTGCGTCGTCCTCGTCCTCCCTCACTTTCACACTTGACTCCGGAGCTTCTCGCTCCTTCTTTCCAGACCGCACTACCCTTACGCCGCTCGGCCGGCCGGTTGCGGTCTCCCTTGCTGACCCCTCTGGGGGTCCTGTCCTGTCTCACTTCTCCACTGTCCTCCCGTGTCCGGCTGCCCCTTCGGGCACCCTGTCGGGTCTGTACCTTCCCTCGTTCTCTACAAACTTGGTGAGTGGAGCGGACCTGCAGGATGTGGGGGTTCACCAGTTCACTCCTGCGAGTCAGCGGGTGACCCACTACACGGAGGCACGCACAGGCCGACACCTGGCCACGTTCTCGCGTCGGCCGGGGTCGAGTCTCTACACCCTGACCGTTGAGTCTCCTCATGTCCCTGCGTCTGGTCAGGTGGCTGCGTCGGGTCAGGTGCTTGCTGCTGCGTCCCGGTCAGGTCCTGAGTCTGCCGCCTGTTCTTGTCGCCTCCTGTCTCACGAGACTCTCCTGTGGCACCACCGTCTTGGCCACCCCTCCTTGCCCCGTCTTTGGAGCATGGCTTCCCGTGTCCTTGTCTCTGGTCTTCCCCAGTCTCTCCCTCCTCTCCCCTCCGGGCCAGGACCTTCCTGTGTCCCCTGTGTCGAGGGTCGCCTCCGGGCTACTCCTCACTCCTCCCACTTCCCCCCGACAGAGGCTCCCCTGCAGACGCTTCACATGGATGTGTGGGGCCCAGCCCCCGTCCGTGGGCAGGGTTACGAGCGCTACTTCCTGTTGGTGGTTGACGACTACTCGCGTTACACCACAGTCCTCCCCTTGCGCAGCAAGGGTGCGGTCACTGAGGTGCTGATCGACTGGATCCGCGAGGCTCGTCTCCAGCTCAGGAAGAGCTTCGGCTCGGACTTTCCTGTTCTGCGTCTGCACTCTGACAGAGGCGGAGAGTTCTCTTCTCGCCTTCTGCGGGACTACTGTCGTGCACGGGGGATCCGCCAGACCTTCACCCTTCCGGACTCACCACAGCAAAATGGGATTGCTGAGCGCCGCATTGGTATGGTCGTGGATGTCGCTCGTACGTCCATGATGCATGCGGCTGCCCCCCATTTTCTGTGGCCGTTTGCGGTGAGGTACGCGGCGCATCAGCTCAACCTTCACCCCCGGGTCTCTCGGCCTGCGATGTCCCCAGCCTTGCTGTGGACGGGGAAGGTTGGCAATGCGTCTGTGTTCCGTGTCTGGGGATCTCGGGCGTTTGTCCGCGACTTGTCTGCGGACAAGCTGTCCCCTCGTGCTGCTCCCTGTGTCTTCCTTGGCTTCCCCACTGACGCCCCAGGGTGGCAGTTTTACCACCCCTCCTCTCGTCGTGTTCTGTCCTCCCAGGACGTCACGTTTGACGAGTCAATCCCCTTCTACCGTCTCTTCCCCTACCGCACTCCTTCCCTCCCCCCTCCCCCGGACTTCCTTGTGCCGGTTCCCCCCCCGGTAGACCCCCTTCCCCCTCAGGTTCCTGCCCCCTAAGGTGTGTCCCAGGTAGACGCCTTTGACCCGGTCGAGGTTACTGGTGACTCTGGTGCTGCTGCGGGTGCTGAGCCTGGAGGTGCTGACTCTGGGGGTGCTGTGCGCGGGGGTGCTGAGCCTGGGGGTGCTACTGCTGGGGGTGCTGGGCCTGAGGGTGCTACTGCGGAGGGTGCGGAGCCTGGGGGTGCTGCGCCGGGGGGTGCTGTGCCTGGAGGTGCTGGGTCTGGGGGTGCTGGGTCGGGAGCTGCTGAGCCTGGGGGTGCTGAGCTGGGAGCTGCTGAGCCTGGGGGTGCTGCGTCTGGAGCTGCTGAGCCTGGGGTTTCTCCTGCTGCTGCGTCTCGCCGGGAGCCCCTCTCTCCACAGGAGCTGCGCGAGTGGTTCGCTCGCCGCTGGAGGCGTGCTGCTGAGTCTGGAGGTGCTGCTGGAGCTGGAGCTGGAGCTTCTTCGACCGTCGAGGGTGCGGGTGCTGCCGGTCCCGGAGCTGCTGGACTTGCGGGTCCTCCTGGTGCTGGAGCTGCTGAGGGCGCTGGTGCTGAGCCTACTGCTGTTGGTCCTGCCGCTGGAGGTATGGGTGGCGCTGGTGCTGTCGCTGAGGGTGCTGGTGCTGTCCCTGCTGCGTCTGGAGCTGCCGCGCGGCCTCGGCCGTACTTCGTTCCGCTCCTGCAGCAGGTTCTTGGTCTTTCTCCTCCAGTAGAGGGTCCACCGCCTGTCCAGTCGCAGTCCCTGCTGGAGCCTTCCTCTCCACTGCCTGCTCCCTCTCCTTACACTGGTCCTACTGGAGGTCTTGCTGAGCGTCGTGAGCCTGCGTCTCGTCCCGCGTCGCCTGTTCGCACTGCTCGCGCTAGTGGTCGCAGTTCGCGTCAGCGTCCTCCTCCTGTCCCTGGCACGCACCGGATGTCTTTGCGTCCGTCCACTGCTCCTCTGCGTGCCCCTTTGCCTTCTCCTCCTGAGTCCTCTCTTCCTGCGCTTGCCGACCCTGAGTCGGACTCTCTTCGCGCTGCCAGTCCTACTGTCACGCGTCTGCTTGCTACTGTTGTCACTGACCCCTCTTTTGAGTCCACTGCTACGTCTGCTCTAGTCGCTGAGCTCGTCGACTTTGCTGCTCGCTGTCGTCTCGACTACGCTGCTAGTCTTGTTGCTGAGTCTGCGTCTGTCTGTCCTCCGTCCGTCGGGGGTGAGTGTGCTCTTGGCACGGACGTCCTAGAGGACAGGCAGGAGGAGTTATAGTGTCTAGCGGCTGCTTCACCTCATCTCGCGTCTGTACTGCTTGCCCCTGAGGGAGACCCGGATGCACTAGACATCCCGACTCCGCGTTCTTACGCGGAGGCCGTAGAGGGTCCCTACGCCTCTCAGTGGCAGGCAGCTATGGATGCAGAGATGGCTTCCTGGAAGTCCACAGGCACCTACGTTGACGCGGTTCCCCCTCCTGGGGCGAACATCGTCAGTGGCATGTGGATCTTCAGGGTGAAGCGGCCGCCGGGCTCTCCACCTGTCTTCAAGGCACGGTACGTTGCTCGTGGCTTCAGTCAGCGGCAGGGAGTTGACTACTTTCATACCTTCTCTCCCACCTCGAAGATGACTACTCTTCGGGTGCTGCTGCACATAGCCGCTCAGCGCGACTACGAGCTTCACTCTCTCGACTTCAGCACTGCGTTCTTGCAGGGCAGCCTGTACGAGGAGATCTGGCTTCGCCGTCCACCTGGCTTCACTGGGACTTTCCCTCCTGGCACCCAGTGGAGCCTCCGACGGCCAGTCTACGGTCTCCGCCAGGCACCGCGTGAGTGGCACGACACACTGAGGACTACGCTTGCGGCTCTTGGGTTTGCTCCTTCTACTGCTGACCCGTCGCTGTTTCTTCGCACCGACACTTCCCTGCCGCCGTTCTACATCCTCGTGTACGTCGACGACTTGGTCTTTGCCACAGCAGACACTGCTGGACTCGCCTACGTGAAGTCCGAGCTGCTGAAGAGACACACGTGCACAGACCTGGGTGAACTGCGCAGCTACCTTGGCTTGCAGATCACTCGGGACAGAGCACGCCGCACCATTACCTTGACTCAGTCACACATGGTGCAGCAGGTCCTTCAGCGCTTCGGCTTCACGTACTCCTCGCCTCAGGCCACTCCTCTGCCTACTCGCCACTCACTCTCAGCTCTGCCTTTGGATGAGTCCGTAGAGTCGAGTGGCCCGTATGCAGAGCTTGTTGGCTGCCTCATGTACCTGATGACCTGCACACGACCTGACCTTGCATACCCTCTGAGCATTCTTGCTCGCTATGTTGCTCCTGGGAGACACAGACCAGAGCACATGGCTGCAGCGAAGAGGGTATTGCGCTACCTGTGCAGCACGTCGGGCATGGGGCTAGTGCT